ACATTAACATCTTTGTATACATGATTTGAAGTAACAATTCCAAGTAGAGTCCCATCGATAACAGCTATACCTAACCTAGTTGGGACCCAAGAAACTACTACCGCTACATCGTCCCCGGACAACGAAGCCTACCTGCTTAATGTGAAGCTATCAAAGCTGCATATTCCCACCAAAGTTGTCGAAACTCATCTGTTTACATCGAAGAAGGGAAACCCCACAAAATACTCGCCTCCAACAATCGATGACAACTAAACGAATCCTATTCGGATCAATCTAAGCGCGCCGTTACCCAACATTACCATCACCACATGAGAAAAACCCTAAATAAACAGATCAACACACAATTAAAGAATCCCGATACTGATAACCAGCAAAGCAAATCACTGAAGAAAACGATAGTAGCCGATCGACCTGATAATTTGTCGTACAGAGATCGGGGCGATGATGTTGGTCTTCCCCACCGACCGATCGCCCAAGAACACATCGGCGCCATCGCCGAGTCGTGAGAGACTTCCAACTCGAGATCGGAAGGGGAAACGTAGGCGACGGTGAGAAGAGATCCAGAAGAGTGCGACGGAGGAGATCTCAAACAAGCGAATAACTTCCTCTGTTGCAGTTACGTATTTGGTGTGTCGCGGAGGACAGCGGTGTTTAGTCGAAAAAGGAGACGCTCTTCCCGCCCGATGATTGTATTTTAATTTTTTGTTTACCCACTTTCCTACCTTCCTAATGATTGGAGTCAGGAAAAGGGCTCCATCTAGATAAATATTCACAATGCAAGCGGGTAGCTCGGGTATGCGGCAAAGAGTGTGAAAAGCATTGGCGGTGGAGGTGACGAGATGGATGGTTATAAACCTCTTGCGTGATAAATACCGTCATAAACCTATTGCAGCATCACCTCAGTTTTAGCGTTACATTATTTGCTTGGGCTTAATAAGCACATCAAATCATTTAAACTTATATGGATTAAGTATCTATCATTTTGAGTTAGATCTTAATAAATGATATTATAATAGAAATAGCATTGCTCATAAAATTATATTATCACATATCATTTGGTTCAAAGTTCTAAACCAACTAATTATAAAAATAAAAATAAAACATAAATAAATTTCATATTACATTTAAAATGGAAATCACCTCCATTCTGGTTCCAAATTTGACGAACAATTTGGGAACCGTGATCACCCTTAGTATCACGGCACAAAATTATTACTGGGTTAGGACACCACTAATAGAGAGGCTAGAAGCACATCATGACATAAAAGCTATCACTAGATAGTATTATGGTAAGCAGTACGAGAATAAACATGAGACAAAGGCTCTACATTTACAACAACTTTGGTCACACACAGCTCACAAATGTTTGGAACACTCCATCTCATTATAGTGCGGATGATCAAATTACCTGATGAAATTAAACTCTTGATGTTGGTAAAATTCGCCGACATAAAAGAGTTTGCGAAACTTGAGAACGTTAGGTGTACAGAACAGGATGCAACTCTTGTTCATATACAACATCTTTACAACTGTGCAGGGCACCACCACATTAAGGCACGCTGCAGATCTCATAGGGGTGCCCAATCGTCAACTGATCCATCGTCACGGATGTTCATGCCATAATTTCCAGACCTCAGCTTGCACAAGAACTGCTGTTTTGTCGCACAACCCTGTTCAAAACACTACGGTGGGCAATGTTCCTAATAAAGCATTATCCTTCCTCATTGAATTTGTAATGTTGCGTATCCTTACCTTCCCAACTGGGATAATTCAGGTTCTTCCAACAGCAAGTCTTGCAGTAATCTCGAGTCTCGATCCCTGCAACAATTAGAGCTTGAAAGAGATTAGCCACTGATCAAAGACCAAGATGTTTTGCAACAATATAAGAATGAATACGTATAAAACCAAAGGCTGAATAGAATCACCTATGATCAAGTGAAAGAAGCCTATGGTGAATGATGCAATCAGTGCCAACATAAGCAACAATTAGACTGCCAGCATCAGGGTGAGGCCAGCTGCGAGAGGTTGGAAATCGAAGCACAAAAGTTCCTGCCTTTTGTAGTCCTCCAGGACCTTTAAGCGCAGATTCTCCTTCCTCCTTTGTAATGAAACCTTCTATCCATTTCGGTGATAGGCATTTCCATATTCTGTTTATTCGGTCCTTGGACAAAGCAAAAGCTACAGGATACAACCAGTACCACATCCTGTCAAATTCTTCCCTGCCCAGATCATCACCACATCCAGCGATTCCACGCAAGATTTCAAGGTCCTGAATAATTTATGCGCTGTGTCAAGAGCTCTATTTCTTGAGGACCAACATTTAAAAGGTTGGAAGATGGGAAAAAAGGCAACCTGTCCGGACAAGGGCCTACTTGCAGAATTGGCAACCATCATGAATTTGTTATTGATCTCAGAAATTGCATCCATCCAGAGAGCTCGTTGGTTCTTCCGAGAGATGGAGTTCCAAGTATCATCTCCTTCTTGGACCAAATGCTTTGAAACCAATATTTGATTTCTGTCAATATCCAGCAAAGATAAAATTACACAAAAAGTAGTTCTTCAAATATATTAATTATATAATTCATAAATTAAAACTATAGACAAGGAATTAATTTTAAAAGATCACCGGTGATGAGAGCATCCACTGTACAGGCAAACCTGCTCTGCAAAATTTGCAATATCTTCATTGCTTGCTGAAGCTATTAACTGCTTAAGTATCATTGATCGCTCAAAAGTACTCTCCAAACAGTACCGAAATATTGCGACATCTGAGACAACAGAGTTTTGGCTCCATCTGGAGTCCAGATCTTTAAGATCAGTGCTCTCAGAATCTGATGGTCCACTGTCTGTTCCTTCAAAGTTGTTTATTCTCATTTCTTGGTTTTTCCTCTTTTCACAGAATGCAAACATGTCAAAAAAACTGAGTTAGCACTATGCAAAATACAGAAAGGACTTCCACATATATACATGTTGACAATCAAACAAGAATTACCTGTTCTGAGCTCCCATTAGCAACAACTTCTGTTGTTGACCTGTTATCCTCAACTTTAAAATGTTTCGACTGTGGACTGCATTTCAAGTCAGACTGGTTTGATGCTTTTAGTTGACCATTCCCATACACATCACGAATTGCTTGCAACCCATCGCTGGCCTTTAGCAAATGAATTTCATCGAGAAGAACTGTTGTTGAAAGTGACCTTTTCCCAATCCCCAATGTCCGGTTACTGCGGTTCCTTGAGATACAGCGTATCGGACAAGAGTATGCTTCAAGAAATGGATATCTCTGACCATGCAATGGGTGGAAACAAACACGGAAAAGCCGATTGTCACATTTCGATGATAGCTGAAACAAGAAGCATAAAAAGGAAAAAGAAAGTCAGCCTCAGTAGTCAACTTTGCATCTAGATTCTAGAGACAAGAGAAGCAAGCATATATAGAACCTACTATTATGATGTAGCTATAAAACTAATAGCTAAAAGATCTAAGGACTTCTAGTACCATACAGTTATACACTGAACACCAGCATTAAAAACTAGCACTCAACAATGTCAGAGACCAACTCAAGTACCAGATAATTCTTAAAGTCATCCACATTCAGGCAAGGTAAAATATCTACAACCAGAAATTACTGGAACAGCCTCCTTTTTCTTTATCTTTTCCCCTCTTTTTTTATAAACATTAATAGAAAAAACTCAAGTTACTTTAAGAGTTACCTGAGATATTTTAAGCTTATATGTGGCACGGCCACGGAGAAGCATGACTGGCCTATCAGTAGAAGGGTATTCAAGTCCATCACAACTTGTTAGCAATGGTGCTTCGGCGTCATCTCGAGTTTTTTCAACAGGAGTTCCACTGTCGGCATATAAAAGTGAAGCAACTACCTGAAAGCAGGAATAAGCAATCATCACAAACAAGATACATAAAAAGAAAATCATGCAGATGCTGGTTCTAAGAAAAAACCTGTAGGAAGCAAAATTTACCTCCATCTCCCTATGGACTGATCTACCAAAAGCATCTAATAGCACAACTTCCAAAGAGAAGTTCCTGCGGCAAGATGCCTACATTAATCAAACTATTAGTCTCAGAAAAACATGCAATAAGTTTTTGAAAAGGTTGAAACATAAACAATTTCCCATCACTTGTGATGTCAGTTTAGAATCTGAGATAATAACATTTTACTTCAAATTTCTTGTCATACTATTATTATGGTCATGCTGGATACAACTACTGTCAGAAACTTCTCGGTTACATGTTATATACTAATAAAAGTATTGATTGATTTAAAGAAGTAACTAAAAAGATGGGATACTTTAAGATACTTGATGGAAATTTTGGGCATACTTCTCCGAAGATCTTCAGATGAGTTTTTCGCTTGCAACACTCTGGCAGTATGGCTACCACCTAGGTTCTATGAAAGACTATCGCACAGGATAGGAACTATGATCAGGCAAGATAAAAATATGGAAATTGAGAACATATGTTGTGGATGACAAAGGACAAGCATATTATAAATATACTTCGTATGACAAGCATACAAGAGCAAGAATAAGCATGCTGATGTTCGTTTTGTGTATATTTCGCATGTTAATGGAGATTACTGGATAACTGAAGATCATAGTTCAAGTTTCAAGTTTTTTTTTTTTTCTGAATCACAAGGAATTCAGTAGTTAATGACTCCCAACGGTGGGAGATAATAGTCTTAGATACTCTTAATGCTACAATAAAAGAATCTTCCTCTTCATGCATTCAAAATCAAACAGCTAAGTGACAGATTGCCAATCCACAACATATGGAGTTCAAGCTTTAAACTTTCAAGAACTGTACACCGAACAATTGGTTGCTAAAATATAATGATTTCTTAATCCAAACTACAATTCCCATTGTGAGATGTCCATTGTAACTAAATAATATATATATCAATGTTAAATAGCAATATAATGTTTAGTTCCACATCAAAAGTAGACTAAGATTTAGATTGACTTATAACGGTCTAATGAGTGTGCTACTGTTTACTTTAGCCTAAGCATTTTGGACCAACAAGTCGGATCATGATAATATAGTAACACCTCCAATTTAGTCCGTCCCACATCGAAAGTAAGCTAACAGTTACATTAACTTATAAGGGTATGATGGGTGATGGGTGATAAGATATCAGTTATCCTATCAAGTCGGGTCATGACAAGCGATTTACATATTTCTCTCAAAAATATATTTTTTGCCATACTTTTTTCATGATCTATTTTTTAATTAATTGAAATGTTCATGGATTATCACTTCCAAACTCACATACATCATGCAATGTAATATTTATTGCAGCTTTGCTCATAAGATGAGAGCTCTGACCTTGCCACCAACAATGCTCCAGACACCGTCACCTCCTTCTTCAACACCATCCAAAATGCATGAATTATCAAGAGACAACTTTGCTGGAGGATTCTGTTGTCAGGTTAACATACTTGGTTATATATGCTAGGTGATTATGAGAGGTAGCTGAATTTAGACATCTTAAAAGCAAGTAAGCACCTTAACAAAATGCTCTGATACTGAGGCAGATATAGGCAAAACCTGAACATGATAGATATAACCACCAAGGTTCCCATCGTTTCCAACTAGTATAATCTTCTTCATATCATCTTGACAGTGCTTGCTGGATAAGACAAACAAAGACTTCTCTCCAACCAGTTTTCCATCAACATGAAGACGCATATAATTTTCAGCTACCTGAAAATCAGCATGCCAAGAAAATTTTCATTAAATTATGCAGAATCGTCACTGTCTCACATCAAACAAGAGATGATAATTCAAAAAGAAAGTTCCATGTGCTTTATTCGCAAAACAATAACAACAAGTTGTGCACTTATATGAAAAGTAATTTTTGAACAATTACATAAAACAAATCAAGCAAAGAAAATAAACTCATAAGCTTGAACCACTAGATGTGCTGCTGTGGACAATTGCCCTAGTCCATCTCCAGCAATCAAATTAAGGATTATAATCAAAGAAGTATGAAGATTAAGTCTAATTATTTTGAAATAACAAAATTTTGACTTTTCTTATGGAATGTTAAAATGTTAAATATAAGAAGTTGTTGTAGTCCTTTTATGCCCATGGTTCCAAAGATTCAGCCAACACCTAAAGGATGAAAGCAAGGCAGATGATCCTTAAAAACATTATATCAAAGAAGATTATAAGAATGCAAAACTGTCCTCCCTTTAAAATAAGAATTACTAATTATAATATGCCAACAAACAATCCCAAAGTTTTCTGAAAGTTACTTAAAGCATCCAACAAATATATATAGAAGATAAGAGATATTCATGAATGATTTCTTCAAATTAAAAGCAATTACTCATCCAAAATTGCAATGGATATGTTGCATTTAATAAGGGGAAATGGATAGAGGAAGAAAGAAATAAACGGGAAAAAGGTTATGTGGAATTTAGAACATCAGCCCATCAACCATAAGCCTGACTCTTCTCACTGCAATTGATATAACTTGCAGAACTATGTCACCTCCTTGGCAAAATGTGAAAGTGAAACATTGGCAAATAAGAAATAACAACAACAAACATAATCAAGACAATCTTTACACGGACGTTGCATTCCAATGACATAACTTGGTCAATAAAAACTAATTGTACTGAATCACAGTTGATGAATTCCCACCCCCTATGTCACGGACTCAAATCCATGAGAGGCATACGAAGCTATAATTCTAATCAAGCAAGAAATTAGATAAAAGTCATTCTTACCTATGAAGTATAAGATTAATCATCTGTATGGTCGATTCACAAGAGAGTACTTCTATGTGACCCAGGTACCTGATGTAAGCAAGATTGTAACCAAATTAGGGTTCCTTGTTTGAGCCAAAACTTCTCGTTCCATCAAGGGAACAAGAAGCAAATTGGGAAGTTTCATTCATGCTTCATGAGAATTGTTATTTCAGTTATTTTTTCCCACAATTGACATGGGATCAATTTGTCCAGATCTTGGAGAGTGCAACTTGCAGATGGATCTGCTGCTGCCACTTCTCTTTGGGGGGAAGGACGCAGAGGGGACAAGAGACATCAGAAGAGGGGAAAATTGATGCCTGAGAAAGAATTGGCTTCTCTTTCTTAGCATCAAGATCCTTTGGGTCATCTTCCTTTTTTTTCCCCCTGTACTGCAAGTTCCATCAAGGAAAGACACAAAGATACCAGCCTTTCTGGTAGCTAGCTGGCAGTGGTCTTGCGGCTATGAATGAAATCATTGAACCAAATAATGATATAATAATTTTGACAACTGCAGCCCATGTCCTGCTAGTTCTGTTACAAATTATGAATAAGATCAATAGTAAAAATGTAGTATGCTTCTCTGATGCTGACATTCATACAGCTGACCATATGCCTCATTTATCATTGAGGTACAAAATTTATAATCTAGATGTGATATGACAACCACATGCTAGAACCTTTAATATTTTTTTGGCGGAGGTAAAGGTGAAAATAAGATGATTTTGCTTCAACCAAATCCTAAATATCTAAATGTAGAAGCAACTAGTTTAAAAATTATCAAGATCAACTGCCATGTTCTATGGTCCTTCTCAGATAAGATACTCCATCTATATTAGGAAACAGAGGAATAAAAATGGAAAATAAGCAAAAAGTCTCAAAATTATTCAGAATTGTAGATGACAAATGTAGGAAATTGCAAAAAGATAAACTTTTTGTAGCTTCGAAAACACATCAATCTTGCAAATAATTTTAAAAAACCACATACCTGACATCCAACATGAAACCATTTCTCCAATGGGCAGTCCATTTCAGCAGCTGTGTGAAACATGTCAGTCCAGGGAAATGGATTCTCAGAAGAAGGAGCTTCTTTGTGTATTAATATCAAAGGAAGTAGAATCAGTTTATTTTCCTCATTTAGAACAAGAAAGGGAGCTTCATCTTCACTTTCTGAAGTCTTCTGTATTATTAAGGAAGAGAAATTTACAACACTGTCCAACTAAACACCAAAATAGAGGATTTCAAGAGCAAAAAGATATTCCTGAAGCCATAACATTCACACTAGCCACTGTTACAAAGTTGTACCCTCAAACTTCATGCTCAAGTCTTATTAATTATGTAAATGCAAAAAAAGGTGCCAAGAACATTACATAATAAAAAAAGAGTTATTCAGTTACTGCTCCACCTGCATTGCCAAAAAAGGATGAAGCAACAGCAACACACAAAGAAGAAAATATATGCTGAGAAAACTTCCAATGCATAAATTCTCGTTTGCCTCAAGTGAGATCAAACTAACACATCGTTTTAAACCAAATACTGATTTGAGAAAGAATCAAATTCAGACATTTACATCCATCAAGAAGTGTGAAAAAGAGAAGCAGAACATTTTGCAAGTCAAAACCAAGAAACAACGGATCAAACGCCAGTTCTGCAAGGTAACAGTAGTGAATTCTTCCAAACTTGATAAGCAAGACTAAGAAATCTTTATCATGTGGAAGTAACAATTAACTATCTAATATAAGAATTAATTAATATTCAAGGGCAAGAGCAGTCAGACTCGGGTACCCAAAGAAACACATTCCCTGCCATTTATCCCCAAACAATCAAACTTGGCGGAAAAGGTTAAATGAATAAACGAACAAATTCATTCCATTTATCAGCATCCACTTCAAACATAAACCACAGAGAGTAAGGAAAAGGAATTTCGGGCTCCCCCTTTTATCCCACACGAGAAAGAAACGACCCTTGCAAGTCAACCAACAGCTGAAGCACTCGCACGACGACTCCAACACAAGCAGCAACGCAAAACAAACTAAAAGTACCCGCACCAATACTCACGGGATTCGAACAAGTAATCGCGGAGAAAAAGGGAAGAAACAGGCAAACAGCAAGAACAAGCAATACAGAGACTTCCTTTTTCAGGATCAAGAGATGCGACAGGAAGAACCGGATACCTGCTTAAGAATGATGGAAGAAGGACGAGCAGAGCCGGAAAGATAAATCCAGACGCAAAGGGAGAAACCAAAGCCGCCGCCATGTTCGCCTTCGCCTTCGCCTTCGCCATCTCCTCCTTCCTCCTCTCCTGCTCCGCCTCGATCGAGGCTTATCCTGAGATCTTCGAGCTTGGCGTACTGCTCCTCGCGGCATTGCTCGCCGTCGGCCATGGCCGGTCGAGGGGTAAGGAGAAGGGTTGGGGTTTGGTGGTGCGAGAGGACGCCTCCTATAATGAATTCGGCTTCGAATTTTGGTGGGGTTGGGGTTTTCTTTGCAGCGAGGGGTTAGTTAACGGTCTCCGCTGTCCACCCCCGACTTCGACCTCGACTTAACCTGTCCGAGAACGAACCGCTCTACCTCGCGTTATCTCGACTGATCTCGTCGGTGGGCGGGCCGTAGAAGTGGAAATGGAAGCAGGTTGATATCTATACCGTCCGAAGATGGGGTCGAGCAGCCTCGTCCTGATCCGACGGTGGACATTTATGCTCACGGGATTGTTGGTCGAAATGGATTTTGATTTTGGGGATGTTTGTGTGACCTTATGCGACCGACTCCTCTCGAACACAAGCAAATGTGCTGCGTTCGAGTGGCCATGGCACCAACTTTGTTTGCCGAACGCCAAACCAGGCTGAATCAGATCCAATTTCGCCTGTTGGACGACTCTTCAGCCACTTCAACCAACACCGTATCAGCTTCTAGACATCAGTGAAGGAACCATTACTATCGTCTACTAAAATGGGCGAGGAGTATAAAAAATACATGGCACCAAACAACAATACAATGCAACTGTCATGGAGATGATGCCCATAGTGAAAACTAGCAACGAAAACCAAGTTTTGGCAATCGAATAAATAATTTGATGTTTCACTAACGAAGCTTGGGAAGCTGAAGGCCGTAGACAACATCCTACACAGGATAAATTGGAACTGCTAGCCAGCAGTGTATCGTAACATGAAGAAGTACGAGCATGACAAGTAACCAACGTCCCACGTCCAAATTCACGGCCCTTTTGTACGTCTCGATTCAAGACTCAAGTAAATAACCTCACAGTAAGAGAATACAGCAACTGGGCCCAATGTTCCTCATGATCATCCAACTCCAATGACAAAAAAGTTGCAAGGTATTCTAACGATCATCATGAGAATCTGGGTTTTCTTTCAAGATTACAAAACCTTCCAGCACTGATGACAGCGGAATGTATCTGCACAATAATAAAAAAGACGAGATCCAAGTTAGTCCGTGACAGGTAAGTGGAAAGTCGAGAGAAAGATATTGAGGATCGTCAAGATCAAATCATACTTATCGGTAGCCAGTTCAGCTCTGTCTCCTGCAGCAAGCAAGACAGGAGTAGAATGTGTCTGAAATCCTGTAATGGTCTTTGGCCGACCTGCCTGGCCCACCACGTCGACAGCCTGACCAACCCGTACAGGAACAGAAATAGGTTTTAGATTTTCATCCACCGTCATGAGCATCCTTGGCTGCAAGAGTTAAAACAGGGACCGTCAAAACACTGACCAACTTTGTGATAACACTGAGAACATAGGCCAAGAATTTAAGATTTGACAAGTCACACCTGCATCGCTAAGACGAGAATGTAGAGCATATAATGATACTTTCCAAGGATGGTAGATTTCATGTCCAAGCATGCATGCAAAACAGTAACAAGTCCAGCAAGCGCAGTCCTGCATAGGAAGTTATGAGGATAATATGGACACACTAAATATGGATGACAGGAAAAGAAAAGGTATGGATGACAGGCTGCAAATGAACTTACGGGGACAATAAAAACCGATCAGAGTGGTAAGGGGAAAGTGTTAGTAAACCCTTCCCCAAATGCACAAGACCTTGAGCAATCCTCACCTGCAAAGATAAATTTCAACCTAAATGTGATCCGAGGAAGTTGCTGGAATCAGACAAACACAAGTCTACAATAACCTACACAGAAGAGATGGCCAGCTTCTTTATAGTAATAACTTGAAAGGTTGCGGAGCATGCTGGCTATCCGAGCATTATTTGTGCCTGCACCTATCAATCCCAATGAGATAATTGCTGCCTGCAGATCAAAGGTCACAGTCAGATATCTAGCAAAATTGATTCTCCCATATTTTTTCCCTTTGTTAGGGTGGGAAGGGAGAGAGAGAGAGAGAGAGAGAGAGAGAGAGAGAGAGAGAGAGAGAGAGTAGTTAGGTGG